GATTCAAGATCATCAAGATTATCAAATAAACACAATATAAATCCTAGACATTGGCTCTATCAAGACTCAATCATAGAATCACGTATACAATTATCAAAGGAGCCAACGAATAAGATATAGCTAATAAAGAATGTGTAACTTTATTTTCTTATATAACCACACATTTTGGAGATGTTAGTCCTTTAAACCCTTTACCAGCCCCGTCCCAATAATCTCAGCTATCAGGTGTTAGGCTTGGTCTTTACGGCCTTTCACCTGAGCTATTATGATGATGGATGATTCAACAATTGTAGACTTTATAGTTTTGTGAAGACCTCTTGGACAGTGCAATCATGTGTCTAAAGAATGCCGTAACGTGGGGGGTGGTGATCTCCGCTATTCTACTAAGATTTGCAGCTTGTGAAGATATTGGATTCACCTTCAATGGCTTCCGGTCGGCCAATCTGAGCCTAGATGGAATAGCAGAGGTGACATCCAATGGCCTATTGAGGCTAACCAACGATACCCAGTTGCAGAAAGGTCGTGCCCTCTATCCCCTCCCAATCAAATTTAACTATTTAAGAACTCACCAAATGGCTCGGCTTTCTCTTTCTCCACTACCTTTGTGTTTGCCATAGTGCCTGCGTATTCGATCTTGGCCGGCCACGGCATGACCTTTGCGATTTCCCCAGCAGGGGGGCTTCCAGGGGCGTTTCCGAGCCCCTTTCTCGGCCTTTTCAACCAGACCAACAGTGGAAACGCCACCAACCATGTGGTGGCGGTGGAGCTAGACACTCTCCAGAACCATGAGTTCAATGATATCGATGGAAACCATGTAGGGATTGATATAAATGGTCTGAATTCCATTGTCTCAGAACTAGCAGGGTACTATGAAGCCACCGGTAATGGTAATTCTTTTCGTAACTTGAGTCTTGTTAGTGGAAAGCCAACACAAGTTTGGGTTGAATATGATGACAGGGCTAAGCAGATGAATGTTACCATTGCTCCCCTGAATGTTGGTAAACCGAATAGGCCAATTCTTTCTTGGTCCATTGATATTTCAAAGGACGTATATGAAACTGTATCCATTGGCTTCACAGCAGCTACGGGTGCAGTGGTATCAACCCATTACCTTCTGGGTTGGAGCTTTAAACTCAATGGAATAGCTCGAGCACTCGACATCTCTCGACTTCCAAAGCTCCCGCGAATCGGGTCTAAGAGGAAACCAAGAATATTGGTGATTGGGGTACGTGCCTCTGATTTCTATGATTTCCCTAGTAATGGTTGTCTCAGTAGTGGCTTATTTTGTACTAAGGAAGAAGAAGTTCTCAGAGTTGCTGGAAGACTAGGAAGTGGAGTATAGACCTTAGAGGTACGACCATGGAACGGATCCACAAACTACACATGTAGTTGGAACACTAGGCTACCTCGCACCAGAGCACATCAAAACGGGCAAGGCCACAACTAGCACGTACTGATGTTTTTGCTTTCGGAGCATTCTTGCTTGAAGTTACGTGTGTCAGAAGGCCCATTGAACCACAAGCACCCAATGACGATATCGTTTTGGTGGAATGGGTTTTTTTCTTGGTGGAATATAAGTGAAATTCTGTATGTTGTTGATCCTACTCATGGGGAAGATTATGTTGTAAAAGACGTCGAGTTGGTTTTAAAGCTTGGATTAATGTGCTCTCTATTGGAGCCAACGTTTAGGCCAAGCATGCAACAAGTTGTTATGTATTTAGAGGGCTCTATAGCTCCACCGGAACTATCATCTCTTAGTCTCTCCATTGCTGGCTTGACAATTGCTCAAGGTCAAGGCTTCGATGATTTTGTTGTGTCACTTTCATCATCATCCGGGAACAAGACGTGCTCACGTTGTTCCTTAAGCACAGACTCCATTCTCTCTGGAGGCCGCTGATTCAAATGAAGATCGAGTATGCATGTTTCATGTTGCATGATCAGGGATCAATAATGTCGTCTATTGGGCGCATAGACTTAACCTACTGATCCATTTGGTAGTCAGTATTTGAGAGAAGAATAAAGTTGTGTATTTCCTTAATTGTTGGTTTGTACCTTAAATATCATGCCAGCTATTAATGTAACAGTATTTCACTATCAATGTATTTTTGGTGTTGACGTATTTTGACAAAACTACTTTATTTTAGAAGTTTTTCAAATTATATTAAAACTTCGCTATTTCTATCCTGTAATTATTGGAGAAGTTTGGAATAACAATGAATTTTGAAGGTTCGTTGCAATTTGAAGATCGGAAGCTTCGAAATATAGTAGTTAATTTTGGTTTCATGAATGGTGTTTTTACTATTGTCATTTTATAATTTTTTTTTGAAGATACGAAATTAATTCATTAAATCGTCAACTAGACATTCAACAAAGGAAAGAGGGAGGTGTATCAAACCACTCCCCGCAATCTGACACTGAAAAGGCCTCCCGAGCAACAATATGGGCGGCACGATTTGCAGATCGCCTAGCAAAACTGAATTCGACATCGCCAATCACGGATGCCAATTCTTTAATATCACCAAGTCTTAAACCAAACGAAGAAGTAAAAGAATTACAAGAAAGAGCAGTGTCATTTACTAATTTTTATCCATCGAATTTCAATTGGACTATAAATGGTCTATTGATTATTGATCTTTATCAATTTTCATCATCGACTTCCAATTTAACCAATAGTTTAGGGAACATTATATTTATGGTCATATTGAAAGTTGAGGATGAAAATTAGTGAAAATCAATAGTTAAGGAACCATTTATGATCCAATTGAAAGTCAAAGAATAAAAATTGGTAAATATCAATAGTCAAGGCAATCCGTTATATCGTGCACTAGGGCGCACAATGCATTGTGCGCCGCGCCCTACCCAAACGACGTCGTTTTGGTGCATTGTCCAAAAAAATCATATGTTTCGAATACATATAAACTCATAACAGAATACACAGAAACTCATAACTAAATACATATAATCTAACATGATACACACTACACTAGAACTCTTAACTGAATACATAGAAACTCTTAATTGAATACACAGAAACTCTTAACGAAATACACAGAAATTCTTAATTGAATACACAGAAACTCTTAACTGAATACACATAAACTCTTAATTGAATACACAGAAACTCTTAACTGAATACACAGAAACTCATAACACAATACACAGAAACTTTTAACTGAATACACATAATGGGGGTTTTGGCCATTTAGACGGACGGAGTGACGTCAGCAATTACAATGCGCGCGTTTTGTGACTGTGCGCACATGGCTATGTGCACCGTGGTGCATGATATAAATTGCCAATGACCATTTCTGGAATTATATATATATATATGTATATATATATATATATATATATATATATATATATATATATATATATATATATATATATATATATATATATATATATATATATGTATATATATGTATATATATATAAATATATATATGTATATATATATAAATATATATATGTATATATATATAAATATATATAAATATATATATATATATATATATATATATATATATATATATATATATATATATATATATAGAAGAGTGCTCATATGTGGTCATTTCATTAGGTGTGGCGGTGTGGTCGTATCTGTGTCGCTGAATCAGTTTAATCTAACGGTAGTGGCTAATTCTGAGGATTTGATGATTTTCGCGCGTTTTGGCAAGTAGGTGTGTTATGGTAATTACAGTGGCCATTTATAGCGGCCGGGTTCCAGAATACACCAACAGTGTTGACGACATGCACCAATAGTGTAATAAAATACACCACAGTGAAACACACCAATAGAGTATTCCCGAACACTGTATGATGTATTTATTCATATCTAATGGCACGTTTTTGGTGATGCGTACCTAATTTGTGTATATTTTTTCCTGTGCATTTCATAACATGGATGGAATATATTTGTATAACAATTGGTGCGGCCGTACTGACTACAAGGAAAGGCGTTGCCACACCTGAACTTGGCACCAATGGGAATCTACAATTACACCCGGGTAAGGTTAATAATGCACCAATTACACAAATAAAACACACAACAATGTGATTTCCCTTATTCCGGTGCGCTATGACGAGTTCCTTGCAGTTCGCTGGGTAGGAGAACGTGCGCGAAAATACTAGAAGAATCTTGATTAATGTGATTCATTTATTTTTTTAATCTGTTCATAATCTTTCAATATATGTGATTCTTTACCAATATTCTTAAATGTTGACTTTCTTCGACCATTTATTTTAAATTTATATCATCTGTCATTTATTTTGGATTTTTCTGAATAATATTGTGCTTTAGGCATCAACTAACCTTGCTATATTCCTTAACAAAGTGATTAGTGTGATATGTGTTGTTTTAGGTAGGCTATTGATTATGTTAATTTTGTCCTGTTTCGTAGAAATGCAATTACAACACAATTTTTGAGTTTCAAAATTACACTATTTGCTCGCCGTTGGTTCTGATTACAGACGATGAGTTTCTTAACAGAGTTATTAGTGTGATATGTGGTGTTTTTTTTTACGTATGAGGGTATGATCATGAAGGGTGATCCGGGGTTCAATTGGAAGGAATAAGAACTGAATGTATTGTATTTCACGATAATGTCTGAGAGTACAGGAAGCGAATATATAGATGCTAGATAGAATCCTAGTCTAATACGAATAATATAGTCCTCGTCTAATATGAATAATATACTCCTAATACTCCCTCTCAAGCACAAGGTTGGCTAGCCAAAACATTGAGCTTGTCACGGAGAGAATTAAAACGAAGAGACGACAAAAGACTTTTTGAAGATATCCGCTAGTTGATCCTTGTTTGAAATAAAGTGCACCTCTAACTCCTTTTCGGCTACTTTATTGTGAACAAAATGATAGTCAATCTCAATATGCTTCATGCGGGCATGAAAAACTGGATTGGCACATAAATAAGTAGCTCCCAAATTATCACACCATAGTCGAGGAGGAGACGCAGGAGGGATGCCTATTTCGTGTAACTAGGAAACAAGCCATGTAACCTCTGCAGATACATCAGCTAGTCCCTTGTATTCTGCTTCAGTCGAAGAGCGTGCCATAGTCCGTTGCTTCCGACAAACCCAAGATATAAGATTACTTCCCAAGAACACAGCAAAACAACTAGTAGATTTGCGATCATTCGGATCGCCAGCCCAATCTGAGTCAGAATAGGCGTGAATATCCATAGATGTAGACCGAGAGATACGCAGACCAAGATTTAGGGTGCCCTTGACATACCGCAGGACTTTTTTTAGAGAGGCTCAGTCCGTAATAGTGGGAGCATGCATGTGCTGACATAAGAGATTAACAGCATAAGATAAATCAGGACGAGTTACCGTAAGATACTGGAGAGCACTAGCAAGACTCCTGTACTGTGTAGGATCCGCATAGGGAACAGCAGCTTCGTCGGTGATTTTCGCAGATGAGACATGCGTGACTACTGGCTTGCAGTCCACCATGACAGCACGTTTGAGAATATCCTTCATGTACCATTGTTGTGATAAAAGCATACCGCTAGACAACGGGACAGTTTCAATACCCAAAAATAAAGAAGACACACCCATATCACGAACCTTGAACTCAAGTGCTAATTTATCAATAAGAGCAGTAACACGATCTGAGTCAGAATCCATAACGAAAATGTCATCAACATACACCAAGAAATAAAGACGAACACTGTCATGAGAATATATAAAAAAAGACACATCCGTCTTCGAAGGTGAAAAACCCACAGACACAAGAAAATCGTGCAGCCGTGTGAACCGAGCACGCGATGCCTGTTTAAGGCCATACAAAGATTTTTGAAGCAGATACACATGATCTTGGCACCAACGGGAATCTACAAATGCACCATAGTAAGGTTAATAATGCACCAATTACACAAATAAAACACACAACAATGTGATTTCCCTTATTCCGGTGCGCTATGACGAGTTTACCCTTGCAGTTCGCTGGGTAGGAGAACATGCGCGAAAATACTGGAAGAATCTTGATTAATGTGATTCATTTATTTTTTTAATCTGTTCATAATCTTCCAATATATGTGATTCTTTACCAATATTCTTAAATGTTGGCTTTCTTCGACCCTTTATTTTAAATTTATATCATTTGCCATTTATTTTGGATTTTTCTGAATAATATTGTGGCTTCAGGCATAAACTAACCTTGCTATATTCCTTAACAGAGTGATTAGTGTGATATGTGTTGTTTTAGGTAGGCTATTGATTATGTTAATTTTGTCCTGTTTCGTAGAAATGCAATTACAACACAATTTTTGAGTTTCAAAATTACACTATTTGCTCGCCGTTGGTTCTGATTACGGACGATGAGTTTCTTAACAGAGTGATTAGTGTGATATGTGGTGTTTGTTTTTACGTATGAGCGTATGATCATGAAGGGTGATCCGGGGTTCAATTGGAAGGAAGTTGTTCATAGTCACCGGGGAACGTTATTTTGACTTTTACAGGACGTTTGGTTGGAGAAGGGGAATTACGTGGGAAAGGAATTGCAATTCCATGAGAGATGAATTATTGGGAATAAAGTGGAAATTTAAATTCCAGTGTTTGGTTTATAGGACTAGAATTACTAGGAATTTGAATTCTAATGTTTGGTATACATGGGAATTGAAAGGGATTTAGTATAAAGTCAAAAATGTACATTGTTGTTGTTAGGCATTAATTTTAGGTTAAAAAATGAAGGGGTAATTTTGACTCATCACTATTTTTTTTTTCCCTAAAATCCCAGGAATTAAAATCCCAAGGGGGACAAGGGATTTTAATTCTATGAAAATGTGGGAATTGCAATTCCATGAAATTACAATTCCATTGAATTACAATTCCTTTCAACCAAACAAGGGAATTTTGTAGCCTTTGGAATTAGGTGGGAATTAAGTGGGAAGGGAATTTAAATTCCCTTCAATCAAGCACCCTATTAGATTTGTTTTTACCTAATAAATTTTCTAATATAATTTCCCTATTATATTTTAATTAATTAATTGATACTTTTCCAAATATATCTTACATAAAAGGTTTCGCCCGCTTTTTATAATATTGATCCATATATATATATATATATATATATATATATATATATATATATATATATATATATATATATATATATATATATATATATATATATATATATATATGTTAATCCATTTATTAGGGTAATTTATATAGGTAATACCATATACTATTTACCATCTAAATAAGTAAATAACACATGGTCATTACCAACTCTATTATTCATCTAAATTTATTATGCTAATTAAACATAGATAATTTCTTCTTACAATGATTTTATATGTTTTTTTTTTTACTTCAAATAAAATCAATTACCCGTGCACTTTCTTTGATTACTTTAGAATAAAATCTTAAATGATAATTATCTTTATAATCAAAAAAATATATTTTTTTAGCTAATGAATATACGCAAATCTTTCAAAATATTAATATTTGCAATAAATAAAATATTTTCAAAATAATCATTATATTGTTAATTTTTTTGGTACATATTATAATGATAATGATAATGATAATTAACACTATCAAAAAATTTAATAAAGAGTATTTAAATGGTAATAAAAGTGTCTTTATAATCAAAATATAATTTTTTTTTCATTAATAATATCATGTAAAGGAAAACATACTATTAAATAAATTTTAAAATTGAGTGTACTATAATATTATTACTAGGTAGTCGATCATTTCCTTCCTTTTATTATTATACTAATTAAGAAATTAATTAAAATTAAGCTAATAATAGAATTAATGAATTAAGTACCATGAGAGAATAATTGTAATTAAGTTTTTTTTTTTGAATGTTACTGGCCTATTACATTGTAATTAAGTTAATAATGGAGAATAATAAATTAAGAAATTGAAAGTAATTACAGAGTATTTAAATGGTAATAAAATTATCTTTATAATCAAAATAAATATATGCAAATCTTCCAAAATATTAATATTTATAATAAATAAAATATTTTCAAAATTATCATTATAATGATAATTAATAGTATAAAAAATATTTAATACAAAGTATTTAAATGGTAATAAAATTTTCCTTACAATCAAAAATCATTTTTTAGTCAATGAATATATGAAAAAGGTAAAAATCGTTGTAAATGAAAACTATAAAATAGATTTTAAAACTTAGTGTACTATAATATTGTTATTAGGTTGTCGTTTCTTTCCTTTTATTATTATACTAATTAAGGAATTAGTTTGACCCAAAAAAAAAAAAAAAAAAGAGAAGAAGACGAAGGAATTAAGGAATTAATTATAACTAAGATAATAATAGAATTAATTAATTAAGTAAAATAAAGAAATAATTGTAATTAAATTAATAATGTATAATAAGAAATTTAAGAATTGAAAGTAATTATAGAGTACTTAAATAGTAATAAAATTATCTTTATAATCAAAAAATATATATTAATGCTTTTGAAAATTATTTCCCCTTTTTCCCATATTTATTTTAATAATAATATAATTTCATAAATCATATTACATATCGATTTTTATAAAATAAATGCAATAAAATGAGTCATATATATGTACACTTTACCTTTTATTTTACTATTTAAATATATAATAAAAAAAATTAATCGTGCATCGCACGGGTAATTTACTAGTAGATTTTAATGTAATAGAGCTAGTAGCATTCAAAAAAAAATACCTACTAAGCCTACTATATATAGTAATTTTTCTTAAATGGTAATTAATTAGCATAATTTTCTAAAAAAAATATTGACTATTAATATAGTAATATATATAGAGTTAATACCCAAAATCGTCCTCGACTATAGTGGTTTTTCTCAATTTCGTCCTAAACGGCTTTGTTGACCTAATATCGTCCCAGACTTTTGTGTTTCGCTCAATTTAGTCCTCCATTTGTTATTCTGTCAAATTGGTGTTAAATTAAGGGACAATTCAGTAATGTCAATATTGATCTCTCTTTACTTTCAACTTGTGAAATGCGAAATTCCTCTTTCTTGTACGAATTACACCCAGAATTACTCCCGGACCTGCAAATCAAATTTTATATTCGCAGTTTTAGGAGTAACTCTGGGAGTAATTCGTAAAAAAAAAAGGGATTTCGCAGTTCACATGTCTATGAGTAAAAAGATGCCAATATTAAAATTACTGAATTGTCTATTTATTTAACACCAAATGGACATAATAACAAATGAGGGAATAAATTGAGAAAAAATAAAAAAGTCTGGGACTAAATTGAGCGAAACACAAAAGTCTGGGATGATATTAGGTCACCAAAGTCGTTTAGGACGAAATTAAGAAAAACCACTATAGTCGAGGACGATTTTGGGTATTAACTCAATATATATATATATATATATATATATATATATATATATATATATATATATATGTATGTATGTATGTATTATAAAGAAAACATTATTGTGGACATTATTATTCATTTTGTAATAGTTGTAACTGATATACTTATTACCATTTATATGCACTTATTATTGCCTTGTACAGATAGATATCTTTGTATAAGAAAGACTGATGAATGAGAAGATCCTTGGTTTTTCCCTCTCTATTCTCTGTATAATTCTTCTTCTTGTTTATTGCAATTTTTATGATTTTCTAACAATATGAACTGATTTGGAGATCAGAAAAAATTGTTTTACCAAGTCACCCTCGGGGCTGTAGCATCAGGACAATCACGACTTTTGAATACAAATGTGATTAATGCTAAGGAGACTTCTATTGAACAGAAGAATTGCTAAAATATTGCCAGCCTGATTCGTGAATAACATAGGGTATTGGTGATGCAGTAGATTTTTAGCATCAAACACAATAATTACTAGTTCATTGAGATACGAGCTACCAACACAGCATATCAAAGGCACATGGCCAGGTATTCATTTTTATAATTTTAAATATATGCTATTTGTTGAACATGTATTTGACATGATGTCAATTGTCAGTTATTTGTTGTGTCATGAATATTAAGCTGTATCTCACACCTTATACATGAAGCTATAGGCTGTTTTTTAATATAGTTTTGCCCAGAAGGTAAACCAAGAGCACTAATTTATCTGTCACTCGTTATCTTGCCCATCAGTTATGATTGTCACATTGTACTCCAGTAAAAGTACATGACAAAATTATGTTAAGTGTTTAGTTATTGGGCTATTTTTTTTAATAAGGTCTGAAAGACCCTGAATGTGGATTGATCTTTAAGGTGACTAATGGCTCATGAATGAAATTTGCAACTTCTATTTCTAATGCTATGCTACTCTCCAAAAGTCAAAATTGACTCACATCATGTTGGTTTGCCTGAAGCAAACAAGTTGTGATTTTTTTTACACATAGTAATCCCCGCCTGAAAATTCTGACCGGCGCAGTTTGAAAATTAAATTCGTGAAAAATACTTCTTGAACTCCTTTTGGCATGAGATTTTTTCTGGAGAACCTAGAGTCGTGGTATTTGATGTCTTTAAAAAGTTTTTGTTAAAAATATGCTTTGGTGATTCCAGAAAAATTAAAGTTTTGGCACTGTGCTGTCAATTATTTTTCTGCCTGGAGCAATGTTGGGAAAAGTTTTAGAAAAAATACTTCTAGACCTTGGATTGGCATGAAAATTTTCGTGTACGTTCT